CTGGTGACAGCTGAAACATCTGACTGGTAACAGCTGAAACATCTGCCTGGTGACGGCTGAAATATCTGCCTGGTGACAGCTGAAACATCAGACTGGTGACAGCAGAAACATCTGCCTGGTGACAGCAGAAACATCTGACTGGTGACAGCTGAAACATCTGACTGGTGACAACTGAAACATCTGCCTGGTGACAACTGAAACATCTGCCTGGTGACAACTGAAACATCTGACTGGTGACAACTGAAACATCTGTCTGGTGACAACTGAAACATCTGACTGGTGACAACTGAAACATCTGACTGGTGACGGCTGAAACATCTGCCTGGTGACGGCTGAAACATCTGACTGGTGACAACTGAAAAATCTGCCTGGTGGCGGCTGAAACATCTGCCTGGTGACTGCTGAAACATCTGCCTGGAGACAGCTGATCTATATGACTGGTGAAAGCTGAAATATCTGCCTGGTGACAGCTGAAACATCTGCCTGGTGACGGCTGAAACATCTGACTGGTGATGGCTGAAACATCTGCCTGGTGACGGCTGAAAAAACTGCCTGGTGACGGCAGAAACATCTGACTGGTGACGGCTGAAACATTTGCCTGGTGACAGCTGAAACATTTGCCTGGTGACAGCTGAAACATCTGCCTGGTGTCAACTGAAACATCTGCCTGGTGACGGCAGAAACATCTGACTGGTGACGGCTGAAACATCTGACTGGTGTCAGCTGAAACATTTGCCTGGTGACAACTGAAACATCTGCCTGGTGTCAACTGAAACATCTGCCTGGTGTCAACTGAAACATCTGCCTGGTGTCAACTGAAACATCTGCCTGGTGTCAGCTGAAACATCTGCCTGGTGACAGCTGAAACATCTGCCTGGTGTCAACTGAAACATCTGCCTGGTGTCAGCTGAAACATCTGCCTGGTGACAGCTGAAACATCTGACTGGTGTCAGCTGAAACATCTGCCTGGTGTCAACTGAAACATCTGCCTGGTGTCAACTGAAACATCTGACTGGTGTCAGCTGAAACATCTGCCTGGTGTCAGCTGAAACATCTGCCTAGTGACAGCTGAAACATCTGCCTGGTGTCAACTGAAACATCTGCCTGGTGTCAGCTGAAACATCTGCCTGGTGACAGCTGAAACATCTGCCTGGTGTCAACTGAAACATCTGCCTGGTGTCAACTGAAACATCTGCCTGGTGTCAGCTGAAACATCTGACTGGTGTCAGCTGAAACATCTGCCTGGTGACAGCTGAAACATCTGCCTGGTGACAGCTGAAACATCTGACTGGTGTCAGCTGAAACATCTGACTGGTGACAGCTGAAATATGCTCTGATGCTGGAAACCATTAGATTATTGTGGCCCATATGACACTGAAGATGACTTTTGTTTTCCTGGAAAAAGACAGTTTCCTGCAAGATGTTTTCCACATGAACAATAACCAACTTGTTTTGATATCCTGATGCATGCTCAACTTGTTTTGAGTTATTTCCATAAAGCCAACAGTTCTGGAGTCCAGTAACTTTAATAGAAGTGTATGTGTTTTAATAAAGGGCTCATGAGCTGCTGTGCCATGTTAGAAATCCATCTGGTACCAGTAACCAGTAAATCTGGTGGGGCTTGAATCTGGAGCGGTAAGCATACCTGCAAACTCTGGAGGGATGAAAAAGGTGACAAACTATATATTAACTTTAATAACCACCAACTGTGAATTTAGGGAAACTTTTTACTGTTTTCTGATTTACTGATAGACTCATAACAGAAACGACCTGACATCATGCAGCCCTTCCTGTGCCAAGAAAGTGACCCCCACCCCCCCCCCCCCCCCCCCCCCCACACACACACACACACACACACACACACACATTTTTAGTCAGTTTTGTCAACCAGCATGCCGTTATTAAAACAGAAAATAATTGACAGGTTCCTTCCTGCCTTGGTGCCACAGTTCACACTGCAGAACTTTTATTCTCGTTTCCTTCACAGTCCTCCTGGATGAACATCCATCTCCTTCACCCGTTGTTTTCATTTCCACTGTTCCTTCCCCATCACCGAGTTTAACTATTGTACTTTCCAGAAAACTTGTGTTACATGGCTTCTTTCTCCCCAACACCATCTTTCTCCTTCAAGGCGTTCTCTAGAACTCCATCAGACGGACTTTTCAACTCTTTGGGCAAAATCTCGCCGCGCACAACACAGACGCGCTAGCTAAGGTGCTACGCGCTCCGTTTCTCTCACACGTCCTAACCCCACCCGCCGGTCAACAACTTGATGTAAGTTAACGCACAACACAGAGGTGTCTCCCCCTCCTCCCTCTGCCCCAACAACAACCCCCCCCCCCCCCCCCCAAAAGAGATGAGCACCTGCTACGCTACGTGACAGAGGAGGAACGCTGTTTCTTAAAGGGAAATCATCCACCACGCCTCTGACTGGGATGGGGGTTACAGACACGATGTTTGCACCTCAGTGGATGGAGATGTTCCATCAGGTGTGGTTTGGTGCTCACCTCTCATTGAAGGCAGGCAGGCCACTGGCAAAGCGAGGGGTCAGAGGTTTACCCTCATCGTCATGGTAGAAAGCAAACAGGCCAGCTGAAAACCCCTGGAGGACAGAAGATGAAAGCATCGTCACCACACACATCATCTGTAGACGCCGTGTAAACCTGAACACAGATGAGTACCAGAGCATGGATGATCTCATGTTTCACTGTGGAGAGCATCCCTTCAAACTCCTGAGGCTGAGAGGAGATCATAGCAGGACACAGGTTGGCATACCCTGCTATGGGCCTGAAAACACACACACTGTTAAAATATGACCCTTTGACCCGGTCCAACTCATCCTGGTGTCCATGACACCACAGCACAGAGGTGGTATGACATGGTGAAGGGTTAAATGTGTTGTTCATCTGACACCATAAGCTGGTCTACAGAGCATGTCCTGTCTATGTTTCCATGTGTTAGTTCACTTCATGCCCCCCAGGGCAGGAAATCAACCAATCTGAAGCTACAGTCACAGAATCTGTTGTTCAAACCTGAGCAAGGAACTGGCTCCCAACTTATGTTTTGCCTCTGTTAATGGAACAGGTTTGGCTCTGTGTGAACATCTGTTGTATTCAACGTTTTATAAACCAGGGTCACATGTCAGAAGGCAGGAAGAAACCCGTCGCCATCATCTCAGAGAGCAGCAGAGACTGCAGGAGACTTTAGACCAAAACAACCTTTAATAAAGGCAGTGTGCATGAGGAGGACGGGTCCTGGTGTAAAAAGTACCTGCAACTTTTACTGTGCAACAGTAGAAACTGAGCTCAGGAAGCTTCAGGATTCAAGTTATTAGAGGCGTTAAAGGAATAGTGAGTGTTTGTGCCTGTGCTGTCCTCCCACCTGTCCAGCTCTGCCTCCAGCTGGCAGTAGGCAGCGTAGGCCACGATGTTCTCCTGTCCACATCGCTCTGTGGTGATGCCGCTCACATAGAGCACAAAGTCAGACCCCTCCACCCCAGAGCCGTCTGGGGGTCCTACGGGGCCACACGACTTTCCAGAGTCACTGCATACCTTGCATTGCTGAAAGACAAATAGATGAGGTGGAGGGATGAGCAGTGGTCACACACAACAGGAGAGCTGAGGAACATCACGTACCAACTGTACTCTGAGTCTTTCATCCGTCTCACACCAAAACACCTGCAGGCTAAACAAGTGGTTTACAATACGGTAGTCCCTCGCTACTTCACGGTTTGTTTTCGTGGACTCGCTCTATTGTGGTTTTTCAAAATATGATTGGACATGACACAAATCAGCTGATTGATGGATGATCCACACCATCAGCGTGGAATTTTTATTTTAAATACATTATTTTAAATTATTTAGCATCCTGGTGGTTTCTTCTCAGGAGTACAAGCTCTATTTTTCTGATCTCATTAAAGTTATGTACCAGAACAAAGAGTACAAATTGTTTAAAGTACAACAGATAGCAACAAAATGTGGCTGTAGCCTTTGGCTTTGTTACCGACCAGTTCTTTAAACCACGTTAGCTGCTCTGTGTGTCACCTCAGTGCTAGTTTTATCAGTTAAAATTATTTACATTTTATTTAACATAATATTGGCATTAAGCTTATCCTTCCACAGAGCTCCCAGCTGGTTTTTATGGTTTTCAAAGCCCAGTCTGCTCCACTCCAAATACTTGAAACACATTTTTCTCTGATTATGAAAAATTCCATCTACATAACTAACAACAAACACTGAATAAACCCCATCGTTCTCTGTGGTTCATGAAAACATTCACTTATAAATAAACAGAGGAAGAACATCCTTATCTTGGCTGACGATTTTTGCAATCAAACGTTGCGTGGCTGTGTGCTGACTAGAGCCGTCATTTCTAACCCGGGCCATGACAATGTGCTGGATGGGTGGGCTGGGTCGGAGTCGGGCTTTTGATTGCGTCAGCAGATCAGCCGCGATCCAATTATATGGCAACATGGCTTGCCATAAAATCCAATTATAAGGCAACATGGCTTGCCATAAAATCCAATTATATTGCAGCATGGCCTGTCATAAAATCCAATTATATGGCAACATGGCTTGCCGTAAAATCCAATTATATGGAAACATGGCTTGCCGTAAAATCCAATTATATGGCAACGTGGCTTGCCATAAAATCCAATTATATGGCAACACGGCTTGCCCTAAAATCCAATTATATGGCAGCATGGCTTGCCCTAAAATCCAATTATATGGCAGCATGGCCCGTCATACCTTCACCAGCCGCACACGGCCGGCCATTTGACAGCGAGCTGACCGGCCTTGAGGTTAAGTAAAGTTCAGTTAAGCTTCGGATGGGGCTGCCAGGCAGCGATCCATCACCCAAATGGACGTTCATTCAGCCGCTGCACTCAGTGGACACACGGGGCCAACGACCCAAACAAGTGAAATCCCAAAGCAGACATGTCAGAGCGGTCCGTGTGTGAATAAATCAGAATGCAGGCAGAAGCAGGGATTTAATGTGCTTTGACGGCCATGAAAGGACAAACACCCCCTCAGGTCCGAACTTCTTCCTCTTTTACTCAGCTGCGAGTCACAGCAGTAAAGTTAGTTTTACGTTGGACATTCGAGCTCCGTGGCTTCAGCGGTGTGTTCCTCTTGTTCGATCAGATGCAGGCAGTCTGACTTAGGTCAGCTGAACTCGAACGAGAGGAACACACCGCTGAAGCCACAGAGTCCGAATGTCCAACTTCCAACATAAAACTAACTTTACTTTGGTCCGCACATTCGCAGACCCTTAATAACTATAAGTAGTGAAAGCTTAATTAAAAATGTTGGGGGTGGGGGGGGGTTCAGGTTCGGACCAGTAATTACTGTTAATTCGTCGAGTCAGGCTCAGAAATGATGGCTACAGACTGGGGCCGGGATGGATCGGATTTTTTGGGGCCTGAATGCAACTGTAGTGCTGACCTGCAGGTGGTGCGGTGGTACAGTAATGGGGCCACACCGGGTGACGTCTGCACACGCCTCCTGGCAGTAGCGGTGAGGGTCACCTCTCTTCCTCATGTACTGATTGGTCGCACATTGTCTGAAGACAGAAGCACAAAGATGGTGAAGAGCCGCACCCTTTGGGCCATCACAGCAGCACCAAATGTATCCTCACACAATTATATAGAAAACAAATTATGATTATTTCAATATTACAGTTATCGAAACAAATCGTTTAAGTTTGAAACATTGAATTTGTTGCACTTTAAAAGACGTGTGAACTGCCTTGAAAGTTCTTACCAGCCTCTTAGTGGACTCTCTGATAAAGTGAAAACTACTTGTTCAAAAGTACCATACTGTAGGGCTGGGCCATATCATATTGTTCACCATAATACTGGTAAAAAAAACTTGCTAGGGAAAATAAATCATGTGCTAATTTCATGGCGTAAAAACGTCAGTGTTTCCCCTACCATTATACAAACCGGATTCCAAAAAAGTTGGGACACGAATCAAATTGTGAATAAAAACTGAATGCAATGATGTGGAGATGGCAAATGTCAATATTTTTTTCATAATATAACATAGATGACAGATCAAAAGTTTAATCTGAGTAAATGTAACATTTTAAAGGAAAAATATGTTGATTCAAAATTTCACAGTGTCAACAAATCCCAAAAAAGTTGGGACAAGTAGCAATAAGTGGCTGGAAAAAGGAAATTGAGCATATAACGAACAGCTGGAAGACCAATTAACACTAATTAGGTCAATTGACAACATGATTGGGTATAAAAAGAGCTTCTCAGAGTGTCGGTGTCTCTCAGAAGCCAAGATGGTAAGAGGATCACCAATTCCACCATTGTTGCGCAGAAAGATAGTGCAGCAATACCAGAATGGTGTTACCCAGCGTAAAATAGCAAAGACTTTTAAGTTATCAACCGTGCATAATATCATCAAAAGATTCAGAGAATCTGGAACAATCGCTGTGCGTGAGGGTCAAGGCCGTAAAACTCTACTGGATGCTCATGATCTCCGGGCCCTTAAACGTCACTGCACCTCAAACAGGAATGCCACTGTCAAGGAAATAACAGAATGGGCTCAGGAATACTTCCAGAAAGCATTGTCAGTGAACACAATCCACCGTGCCATCCGCCGTTGCCAGCTGAAACTCTACAGTGCGAAGAGGAAGCCGTGTGGCAAAATGGAAGACTGTTCTGTGGTCAGATGAGTCACGATTTGTAGTTCTTTATGGAACACTGGGACGCCATGTCATCCGGACCAGAGAGGACAAGGATAGCCCAAGTGGTTATCAACGCTCCGTTCAGAAGCCTGCATCACTGATGGTATGGGGTTGCATGAGCGCTTGTGGCATGGGCAGCTCGCATGTCTGGAAAGGCACCATTAATGCAGAGAACTATGTTCAGGTTCTAGAACAACATATGCTCCCATCTAGACATCATCTCTTTCAGGGAAGACCCTGCATTTTTCAACACGATAATGCCAGACCACATTCTGCAGCAATCACATCATCATGGCTACGTAGGAGAAGGATCCGGGTACTGAAATGGCCAGCCTGCAGTCCAGATCTTTCACCTATAGAGAACATTTGGCGCATCATAAAGAGGAAGGTGCGACAAAGAAGGCCCAAGACGATTGAACAGTTAGAGGCCTGTATTAGACATGAATGGGAGAGCATTCCTATTTCTAAACTGGAGAAACTGGTCTCCTCTGTCCCCAGACGTCTGTTGAGTGTTGTAAGAATAAGAAGGGGGGATGCCACACAGTGGTAAAAATGGACTTGTCCCAACTTTTTTGGGATTTGGTGACGCCATGAAATTTGGAAACAACAGATTTTTCTCTTAAAATGATACATTCTCTCAGTTTAAACTTTTGATCTGTGATTTGTGTTCTATTCTGAATAAAATATTAGATGTTGGCACCTCCACATCATTGCATTCAGTTTTTATTCACAATTTGTTTAGTCTCCCAAGTTTTTTGGAATCCGGTTTGTACAAGCGGGGCGCCCCACCCCGTTAACAGAACCGAACTGTGGCCATTTCTGAATTATTATGGGTTCAAATGACATTGGTAGAATTTGGTCCTATTTACTTGATAAACACGACACTTCACTCAGATATGTTTTGTTGACAAGTTGTTTTAATGTGAAGTTCTGCCGCAGCTTTTAGCTGCTCCAACACAAAGTTCATCTACAAGTGAAGCTGATGGGTCAATGCTTCATTTCTCATGTGCTGCCGCTCAGTTTTGAACCAACAACCTTTGGGAAAGTAGTAATAACCAAATCACACACATTGTTCTGTTTTAAACTGTGTTCCTGGTGTTATGGTATAGTATGGTATAAAGTTTATTCATTTTAAAAAAGTACAAAACAATTCCATAACAATATAAAAAAGATACAAAAGATTAAAAATGAAAGGCAGCAGAAAGAAGAAAAAATCTTATTATATCTGCCCCTTTTTTCAAACAATTATTTCAATCATAATAATTTTCAAGTAACAGAACAAAATGAATAATTCCTGGTGTTAATGTTAGATATTGATTGTGAATGATTAAACTAATATCCTGCTGCTTGTTTCATGCTCAGGGAGGTGCAGGGGAGAGATTCAGCTCATTCAGGAGGCAGGCAGCATGACGGCGCCCTCACAAATACTGCTAAATGTTAGCTGGCTTTGTTACATTGTCTCACACAAAAACAGAAACGATGTCTAAATCCTAAACTAAAGCATCAAACATTCACAAAACCAAGTGAGCTACGCACCTGCTGAGCAGCACAGGTCCAACCCTGCGCCGAACACTGAAAGCCCTTTGCAGGTAGTCGATGGCCTGAGGAAACAGCTTCTCCTGAAGAGGACAAAGCAACCCGTCAGTCTGTTTTCAGCATTTTAACCTCACCTTTACACTAGCCAAACTAAAGCAGATAAGTAGGACGCTGCAGGTGATGAGGCCTGTGCATGGGCAGCTCCTGCGTTTTGATCCACATTTTGCTCAACACTTACACCTGCTGCCTGCTCCTTCTCAGTGTCAGTGGCTCTCAATACCATTTATATGCTGGACCAAATGTGCCCGTCGAGATCAGCAGGTGTGAGCAGTTTGCACGTCTATAGCGTCAGATCACGAAGTCGCAAACACCTCGTGCACTAAAGTGACAGAAAAAAACTGTTTCTCACTATGAGCATAAAGGATGAAGTAGAGAGGAACTCCGTAAAACTCAATGAACAATTCCAACAGGTGCATCTAAAAACAATACAGTAATTGCCAGTCTATGGAGCGCACCTGAAAAAATGCTGCGCACAGAAACTTAAAAAAATAATAAAATTGTACATATATAAGCTGCTGGTGCTCACACTGTAACATGAGAGGCAGCACACAGCTACTGTACTGGGAGAGATGTGCAGCTCCAGGTGTAGCTCAAGAATCAACCACCAGATGGTGTTTTATAGATTTATCTTCATGTTCAACACAGAGTGACCCCCACAGGTCTTCATGACAACTACCTCCTCACGCATGGTTACTCTACTGAAGAACACTAACACACGACGAACACAAACTAACACATGACGAACACAAACTAACACATGATGAACCCAAACTAACACATGATGAACCCAAACTAATACATGATGAACCCAATCTAACACGTGACGAACACAAACTAACACATGATGAACACAAACTAACACATGATGAACA